ATAATTATTATATTTTATTAGCAATATCCATAAATCCCACAAATGAAACATTATCGTGGATTGATGAAGGTATATTGGCTCTAAGAAAATTAATCAGTAAAACATTTTAGTAACAGTCTTTTAGATTTTTTTCATCGTATATAGTTCATGCACGTAAATGTATTTTAGTCGATTAACAAATGCAGCATAACAATAACTGGTAAATATTCCAGTAAAGTCCGATCAGATTTTTTCGACCTTATAGCCTGTAAAAGGATCGTTCCATTCAACTGATGCTTAGTCTTTTGTTTTTTCAGCGAATATTCTTCTGCCTTTACTAACATCTAACAGTAGTTAAAGCGTATCAAAGATTAATATTCCTTTAAGATGGCATTGGTTTGGGCAATGTTGCTAATATAACAACATCCGTATAATCATATAACCCCATTTTTAGTTAATACCCGTTTGTTTTTGTAGGAAAGTATGACAAGCAATTTTCATACATAAGCTGAAATTATATTTTATTGCATGTTGTTTCTATTGGTTTTTAACTATTTGTTATTATTTTGATATATGCTTCATTGTTAAGTACGAACTTAATCAATTAACTCACTGATTATTTTAAATGGAAGGTGTTCATCTATGTTTTCTAATTGACATGGAATCGAGGAAGAAATTTTTCAGATAGGGTAAATATTATTTTTCGATCATCTGAAAATTGTTCTTTATACGTTTGAATACAAACTACACTGCTCTAAAAGAGTTGGTGCTAATTTTGGTTGATCGTATTCATTTTCTGGATGTGTTCAATGAACTTTTGCTTTTCTGTATTTACTAGTACCAAGTCAAAATTTGCCTCTTCTCGGTCCTTCTTCACCAATTCAATTAGATACAATTCAGCAACGAATTTCGAGTGAATCATCAATACCGAAAGACAAAACATTATCTAAATTACCAATTATCTCATTAACAAATACGGATCAAGGTCGAATTGCAACAAATAAAACATTAGCACAACTTCAGATCAGTACTGACGATGGTGGATCATCGTTATCTGAGGTAACTAGTTACTTTAGCAATTGTGCCCTGGGTATATCAGTTCAATATTTATAAATTTCGTTCAAGTTTGCTCAAAAACCAGTTAGAGTGATTCCAGATACTGTAAAGCAACTTCCGTATCAATTATTACAATGTAAGCGACAATTTTGGAAGAACAGAATGATTATTACATGCGAATGCTGTTTTAGGTACGACGAACAGGAAATATAAACCGACTACTTTATCTGCACTATTCCATCCATTTTCATCTTCTCGCAGTAAGCAACAACATGTTTGCAAATATTTCTAAGAATGATACATTTAGTTTTTAATACTAGTCTCTGAGCGTACAACAATAGTTTTACAATATTTTTAAAGTTGTTATTTCAGACTCGACCAATGTTCTATTAAATGAGAATTCATTTAAACAAAAACAATCTCTGTCTCAACCGGAAGTAATCAATGGAATTCAGAACATGGGTAACAGTTGTTATTTCAATGTTTCAATGCAGCTTCTGGCCGCAACCATCCCATTATTACATTATATACATAAACGGCGTCATACTGATCGTGAGTACTTATCAATTTTTTTTCTAGTATCGTTTTTCAATTGATTTAAAATCAAGAAGTGTTCAAAAAGGTAAAATGGCTTTCTCATAGCTAATAGGATCCGTAGATATTTTATGTTAGAAAAGGTTACGTAGAATCT